ACAAGATAGAAATAGATATGTGTGTGCTCTCATCCGTATGGTAGCCTGTAATGGCCATGAGAGGGCCTGTCACTCTTTATACATTGGCAAGGCAAGGCTCAGAACTAAGTGTTGTACCCAAGGACATAGAGCTGATAAGAGGCAGATTGAGAACCCAGCCCAAGATTTTCTATAGTGTTTTATGCTTTGTCTGGGATGCCAACGGTTGACCACACACCTTCAAACACATTCCTGTGGGCAGAAGGAAAGGTACTTTTGGATCCTCTTTCCCCTCCCCTCATAAGAAAATGTCTGTGTGGGACCACAAGGGTGTCTTGAGGTGCTCCTTTTGAGATCAAGTTGCTGTTGGCTGAGTGCCTTCCTGAAGCTGTGGCTCTCTGGATTAACATGTTGACTCTTCCACCCGTAGTCAATGCGAGTGAAGCTGCAGCCGGCATCCAGTTCCAGGCTCCCTGCGTTCAGTCCCTTGATGCCTCCAGCCGTGATATCTCAGATGCTGCTGCTTGACAACCCACACAAAGTATGTTCCAGAAACCAGGCCCCCCTGAGGCTTTTCTGTCAAGTGTCAGTGGTTCCAGATTGAGTTTAGGGGTGGAACCAGCCCTTACTGGGGCCTCCTTTGCTTTGGGGGAGGGCCAAGATCTGTAATGGGCTGTCACAGCTGTGAACCAAGGGGTAAACATGTGAACTCATACCTAGAACTCCTGAAGGAAGCACCCTGTCTTCCTGTGGGTCTCTGAATTTCCCTTTGGGCCTGCAGAAGTAGGCAGGGCTTCCAGGATACATGCCTGGCTCCCTGTGAGTTTGTAGCTCCAAAGAGACTAAGCCAGGGTAGCCAGGCCATTACTTAAAGACTTCATTTGGGGGAGTTATGTAAATAAACTGAGCATGTGGTGGTGCACACCTGTAACCCCAGCACTCCAGAGGCAGAGGCAAGCCTGATCTACACAGCAAGTTCCAGGCCAGCCAAGGCTACACAGTGAGACCCTGTCTCAAAAAAAATAAAAAAGCTTTAAGCTGTGCCTTGGAGACTCCTAGGTTGGGTGGAGGCTTTTACTGTAGGCTTGAATCTCTAACGTCTTAGCCTCTCTTCTGTCCCAGGAACCCATCCGGTTGCGGTATAAGCTGACTTTCAACCAGGGTGGGCAGCCGTTCAGCGAAGTCGGAGAAGTGAAAGACTTCCCAGACCTGGCTGTCTTGAGCGCGGCCTAACTTCTCCCCCGAGATGCTTCAGTCAAGCTTAGGCCAGCATTCCTTTTAACCGTCTGGTCAGGACTCATTGTGAAGTAGTGCAGAGTGCCAAGCATTCTTTCCTGATGTCAGGCCTTGATTGCCAATCTCTGTAGATCATGTGTGCACGTGTGCGTGTGTGTTATTGGGGTGCCGGGGGTGGAGGGAGAGCTGGGCTTGGGATTTGGGCAGTGTGGGGGATGCTGACGACTTCTGAGATCATCTCTTTTGCACTCATACCTGCTTCTGCATGTTGGTTGATACTGTTGTCCCTGCCTCGGGTTGGAGTTTTATAAGCCAAAGTTTTTTCCATGTATTGTTATCTTTTCACTCATCCACTTTGTGCCTTGTCAGCCTTTGAAAGTCTTAGTTGCTCCCAGGCTGCTATTCTCAGGGACCTTAGAAAGGGACCTGGTTGGTCTTGTGACAGAGTGTGTCTTCTGGGGCACACTCTTCCAAGAATGGCCTTGTCTTCATTTTCATTAGGGAATGCTGCTTGCAGATGTTCAGTAAAACCTAAATGGAATGCTTATTGCACTGGTTCCAGGCAAGGGGCTGCCATGAGACCAGGAGACCACACTCGGTGGGCCAATCATGTCCTTCACTACAGTGCCTTAGATTCTCCCTTAGATGGACCCTCTGAGGCCTTGCTTGGGCTTTGGGTTCTGTGGGCTGGGCAGCCTGTCTGGGCCCTTACTCAGGACCCACGATGTCATCCTCACTCTTTCTGTTCATAAACATCTCAAAGCTCTTTCATTGTGACCCTGTGTTCCTTGTTGTAAATCACAGCTAGCTGGCCAGTCCCTTGACCCTCACAATCCAAGGTGGGGAACTGTGATGCAGGTGGAGAGCCATGTGATGACTCCGTACAAAGCATCATCGAATAAATACTGTGTACAAATTTGCCTGGTGTTGAGTCCATAGGGGTACATTTCAAAGTGATAGGCTGGAAGGCAACTGCCTTCTGTTGACACGTGAGAACATGACGAAGAACAGCATTTTGACAAGCTGAGGTGCTGGAGCAGAGGGTTGTTAACTCAAGCTAACAGTCTACCAATACTTTGAGAGTACCTACTGTGTGCTGGGTTCTTTGGCATGCACGCTTCAGCAAGTTCTGCTTGGCTGGATCTGTATGAAGAGGAACCCTGAAGGCTACTGAAATGGCTTGTGAGGGCTAGTCTTGTAAGATTCTGCCTCAAACTGGAAGGCTCTTTCTATTGAAATGCATTCTTCTGGTCTTTTTGTGTTCATCTAGTTGGGGTGGGTATTAATAGCACAAATTGATCATGCCGGGCGGTGGTGGTGCACGCCTTTAATCCCTGCACTCGAGAGGCAGAGGCAGGCGGATCTCTGTGAGTTCGAGGCCAGCTGGACTACAAGAGCTAGTTCCAGGACAGGAACCAAAAAGCTACGGAGAAACCCTGTCTCGAAAATCCCCCCCCCCCCCAAAAAAAAAACCTGATCATTTATTTCAGTAGATTCAGGATGGCTTCTGGCTGCTGTTTTGTTTTTGAGACAGGATCTCACTGTGTAGCCTGGGCTGGCCTGAAGTTGTACCAAAGAGTTCCATAATAGCCCAGAATGGAGTATAACAAAGGTTTATTTATTTGGGGATAAACTCACAGTAAGGGCAGCAACCTGCAGTCCTCTGCATGCGCTAGGAACTGGAACCAAATCCAGCAGCAAAGAGGGGGCTGTACATGCTTTTCTTCTGCATTTATATTACCATGCCACCAGGGGCATGTTCTGTATGTTCATGTCCCCAGATGCTGCTTCAGTGCCACGGTTGCCTCTGCACTGTCAGTCACAGGAAGCACAGGGAAATGTATGCTAAGGCTTCCTGAAAGTGTCTCACGATGCCTGCCTTCATGTCCCATTTAGATTTTGGCCACACCTAGCTGCAAAGCACACTGGAAAATATGATTTTTCTTGTAATTTATTTAACTTTATGTGCTTTGGTGTGAAGGTGTGAATCACCAGGAATGGAGTTACAGATGGTTGTCAGCTGCCATGTGGGTTCTGGGAATTGAACCCAGGTCCTCTTGAAGAGCAGTCAGTGCTCTTAACTGCTGGACCATCTCTCCAGCCCTGAAAATGGGAATTTTGTATGCAGTACAGCACAATATAAAATTGGGGTCTAGTTACCAAGGAAGGAGAGATTGGTAGGAAGTTAGCAAGCAATCTTCCCTCTGTTGTGAGAGAAAACTGCTTTCAAGCTATTGCTAAATGAAAATGCAGGGCCAGGCAGTGGTGGCACACACCTTCAATCCCAGCACTTGGGAGGCAGAGGCAGTCAGCTATCTGTGAGTTCAAGACTAGCCTAGTCTACAGAGCGAGTTCAAGGATAGCCAAAGCTACACAGAGAAACCTTGTCTCGAAAAACCAAAGCCACAAAGTGCAGGTTATTTTTCTTTGTAGTGTTGGCCATCAAATTTATGGGGAGGGGCTGGAGATATGGCTCAGTGGTTAAGGGCACTGACTGCTCTTCCAGAGACTCTGAGTTCAATTAATTCCCACCAACCACATCACAATCATCTATAATGGGATCTGATGCCCTCTTCTGGCATGCAGGCATAGATGCACAGTACCCATATCTAAAAATATATATAAATAATTTTTTAAATGGACACACTAAAAAATCTTGGAAAAGCAATAGTTTATTTTTGTTTGCTTATTCTCTTATGATTCCATAGCACTCTTCATTGTCCAAGGAAACAGGAAATCAGGACAGGAAATGCAGACAGGACCCACCTACTGTCTTGCTTCTCATGGCTTGCTCTGCCTGCTTTCTTGTAGAAGCCAAGACCACTGCCCCGGGGATGGCACCACCCATAGTAGGTTGGGTCCTTCCCTATTAATCACCAATTAGGAAAATGCCTACAGATGTGCAGACACCCTAATCTTATGGGGACATCACCTCGCCGATGACTAGCTGTATCAGGTTGTCATAAAGACTAGCCAAGCTACATCCTATTCCCTGGCTCCAGCTTTAAACCAAGCAATTCCCTCAGATAGTTGCATATACAGATAACTGGCCATGGTTGGGTCTTGGAATTCCAGGTAGGTTTCTTTTCAAGTTTTTTTCCATTTACTGAAATTTCTAAACCAAATAAAGCCTTGTTTCTTATGTTCAGTGTCACTGTTTAGATAAGTATTAAATATGATTCAAAATTAAAATACAAAAGGTGAAAATTCTGGCCTGGGAAGATGGCTTGTTACAGTGCTTGCTGTGCAGGAGTGAGGTCCTGAGTTCGATTCCTAGAGCCTGTATATACACACTGGCAGAGAGGCCATCCTTGGGCTTCTTAGCTAGCCTAATGTAATCCCTGCGAGAGATCTTGCCTGAAAAAGCAGGGTGGATGGCACATAAGGAATGGCACAGGAAGTTGGTCTCTGGCCTCCACAGGCGCACGTACACACCCACACACAGGACAGACGTTCCCTCATCCTTTTCAGAGACACACCAGGAGTACTTGAGCATGTTGTTTTGACTAGATAGCTAGGGGAGAGTGCTGTTACAGTTTTGGCCACCAAGACCATTCTTTCCCTTCAGCTGAACTGTAAATCAGGCATGCCACGCAGAAAGAGCTTCCGGTTGCTTTCTTGCATTGCTATCCCCTCGTTCCTGACAACTCCCCGTCCCCCCCCCCCCCCACCACCTTGTTTGTAGGCCTTTAGAATCACATTCGGTTCTTTTTTTGTTGTTTTCGAGACAGGGTTTCTCTGTGGCTTTGGGGCCTGTCCTGGAACTAGCTCTTGTAGACCAGGCTGGCCTCGAACTCACAGAGATCCCCTTGCTTCTGCCTCCTGAGTGCTGGGATTATAGGTGTGCGCCACCACAGCTAGCTCCTTATAGTCTTAATTGGTAACATTGTTTAAGATCTAATTAAGGGCCACCAGATGTCAGCAAATGAAGGACAGGCACTGGCTACCTGAGTTTGATTCCAGGTATATGAGGAGGAAGGAGAGAAGTGACTTCTTCAACTTGTCTTCTGACTTCCACACCAAGCTGTGGCACATACACACTATAAATAAATAGAATGTTTTCTTTTAAATCTACTTTTTAAAATCTAGTAAACAATTCTATTTATTCATTTTATATATACAGTGTTCTGACTGCTAACCTAGCGTACAAAGTGGAGAACAACAGAGATCCCATCTCAAGGTGTAAAACTTTAAGACAATTCTGAAGCCATTTATGACAATTCTGAGCCCTCTCAGTCTCAGCAGTAATGCTCTCCGCTTCTCCCCTGGGAACCAAGGACCTAACAATTGCCCGCACACGTACTGAAATGTTGGGAACTTTCCATCATCCCCCTGAGTCCTTGTGAATGTTCTCCAAATAGAACTCAGTTATTGAATAGGGGCAAGATAACCCTTAGGTGTTGACTCAGTTACTGATGTTTTGACTTAGGCCCTGGGAAAGGGGCAAAGTGACCCTCAGATGTTTTCCTTTCCCTTGTCTGATCTGGCAACCACTTTCCAGCCAATTATTGGTAATAGCCCTTTTGAATAAGCCAATCATAATAGTTAAAGAACAACCCCCAGAGACCCCTTCCTTCTGTGGTTTTTCCCTTTAAAAATAGCCTGTACCAGTCATTCGGGGTCTTTCTAGCCTCCCAAATGCTGGAAGACCCTGTCATGACAATGCTTTTACATCAGCTGTGGTGGTGAGAGATGGTCTCTGGGGGGCGGTGACTCCTCGGTGATTGGACTCTAGGGTCCAATAAAGGTAGAAGCAAGGACCATTACCTGAGGTATTCCTCTATTTTCTACACAGTTTCCATGGTATTTGCTCACCCTTATTCATACACACAAATGCTTACACACGCAAGATTCTACTGTGAGTCTGACGTGGGGGCACAGGCCTTTAATCCCAGCACCCGGGAGACAGAGGCAGCCTGGTCTATGGAGCGAGTTCCCCTGGGGTCTCTCACTGTTCCACTCCCTATTGCAGAGGGCATCTGTGCCATGAGAGTCCAATGAATGACCCAGGACTACCACCTGTCATCAGCCCAGGAGGCACATCCCTGCCTGAGGGTCTGTAGGCTTCTGAGTGTCTAGACCAAACTGACCACACGGTCCTGAATAACCTCAAGGCTCCATTCGTATGGGCACAGTATGAAGGAAATGTTGGGTCACACTTGAGAATAGTTTAAACTTGGAATGTGGTCCCCCTTTTAATTTCCTCTTCCGCTGCTGCGATAAAATATTCTAACAGGTGGCAAATTAAGGCAGAAAGGTTTATTTTGCTCATGGTTCAGTGTAACAAGCTGAGGCAGGAAGAACTTGAAGCAAGCAGGCAGTCACATTGCATCCACAATCAGGAAACAGCTAGTGTTCAGCTTGGCTTTCTCCATTTTATATAGTCCAGGACTCTCCTGCCCTTGGAATTGCACCTCCCACAATGAAGCTGGGTCTTCCTACTTGAATTAAGATAATCCCTCACAGCTGGGCCTTGGTGGTGCACACCTTTAATCCGGGAGGCAGGGGCAGGTGGATCTCTGTGAGTTTGAGGCCAGCCTGGTCTACAGAGCGAGTTCCAGGACAGTCAGGGCTGTTGCACAGAGAAACCCTGTCTTGGTGGGGAGGGGAATCACTCACAGTCATGTCCAGAGACTGCACTAACCATACCCACCCACACAAGGATCCATCGAAAGGATCACAGCTTTGTGCATGTGGAACACTATTTAAAGAAAACATGCCGGGTCGCGGTGGTGCATGCCTTTAATCCCAGCACTCGGGAGGCAGAGGCAGGAGGATCTCTATGAGTTTGAGACCAACCTGGTCTTCAAGAGCTAGTTCCAGGACAGGCTCCAAAGCTACAGAGAAACCCTGTCTCGAAAAACCAAAACCAAATCAACCAACCGAACAAACCCAAAACATAACAGCAGTTGAGAACACATGCTGCTCTCGAAGAGGATCTAGGTTTGGTTCCCAGCATTCATACTGGACACCTTACAGCTGCCTCTAACTCCAGCTCTAAGGGTCCAATGTCATTTTCTGAACTCTGGGTACATTCATTCACAAGTGACCAAACCCACACAGAGATACACATAATTTAAAAGTTATAAAATGAGTCTTAAAAGAAAAAAATAGATAAAAAATAGCCTGAGCCTCAGTGACATCAGTGGACACATACAATACAGCAAATATGCTCAAGAAATTTAGTCCAGGTAAGCTAAAAAATAGGCTTTGAGGCTAGCCTGGACTACAGAGTTAGTTCCAGGAAAGATAAGGCTACACAGAGAAACCCTGTCTCAAAACCAAAACAAAACAAAAAGGAAATAATAGGCTTTAAGACATTACTAAATAGAGATAAAGGTGTATTTGACGATGATATTAGGTTAATACTGTAGGAAATAAGTTGCAAGTGCAATATACCCAATATCACAGCCCTGAAGAACCTGAAGCAAAAATAAACGCAGCTGGAACAGAAAAATAGGCAGTACAATATATATTTCACTCTGTTTGGTTTTGAGATGGGGTTGGTCTACATAACCCTGACTGTGGAACTTACAGTGTGGACCAGGCTGGACTCAAACTCAGAGATCGACTTGCCTCTCCTGGGTGTGGGGATCAAAGGTGTGTGCCACTACACCTGGCTAACAATAATGAGTTGGAGATTTAAAGCCTTGGAATAATTGGTGGGACAACTCAGAAGATGAGCAAGGACATAAGTTTAGAAGAACACTAACTACCCCATCTTACTAAGATATACAGAACACTTACCCAATGTCTGCAGATATTTCTTTTTTGCTGTTTGGTTTGTTTTTAGTTGGTTTTTAGGAGACAGGGCCTTGCTGTATAGGCCTGAGTGGCCTCAAATTCCAAGCAATCCTGTTTCTGTCTCTCAAGCGCTGGGATTACAGGCATGTACCACGACATCCATTGTGCATTTGTTCTTCTTCCTCCTCTTCATAGTGAATGTTCATTATACATGGTGCTGGGTTTCATAAAGATAGTTTATTTCAACAGTACTTTAAGTATATTCCCTTCTGAACATCCCCCTTTTTGTCCCATCCCCCTTCCATTCTCCTTTCTTCCTCCTCTATCTCCCCTCTACTCTTAGGTCAGATGTGATTTTAGGTATTTATATAAAATATAGATCCAAAAGTGAGAGAAAACACAGATTTTTGTGTTCTTTTGCTTATTATTTTTAGCTGTATCCATTTTTCACAACATCTCATCCTCCTTCTTCGTGCTGTACATGCTTTCAAAAGCACATAGAACCCTCTCCATGACAGACCAGTGTTAACACAGGCCATAACAAATCTCTGCATGTCTAGAGTGATTTAAGTCATACCAAGTATGTTTTCAAAATACATGGAATTAAATTAGAAATCAACACTAGACCATGGTGTGGTGGCTCAAGGTAGGAATCCCAACACTTGGGAGGCTCAGTCAGGACTGCCTTTGAGTTCCAGGCTAGAAGGACTACATAATAAGACTGTGTCTTCAAAAAAAAAATTCTATTGAAAAAACAAAACAAAATTCTACTTTGCTATTCTAGACAAAAGCAAACAGACTCAGAGAAAGAATAAAAGAAACTGATTAGTGAAGAAACTCATGGAAAAAAGAAATGGAAAATTAAAGAGCTGGCTTTTTGAAGATTATTAAAATTAAATCAGAAATAAAGAGGGGGTACCATTATCAATTCTATTGAAATTTAAAAGGATTATGAAGGGCTGGAGACATGACCCAGCAGTTAAGAGTACCGACTGCCCCTCCAGAGGACCTGCGTTTATCCCCAGCACCCACTAACCACCTGTAAAACTCCACTTCCAGGAGATTCTTCATCCTCGTCTGGCCTCTGTTGGCACCAGGTACGCAGGTGGTTCACAGCCATACATGCAGGCAAAACACTCATCCACATAAAATAAAACTAAAAAGGAAGTGCTGCATGCACTTAGTGAGAATGGAAAAGTAGCAACATTACTCGTAGCTACACACTGAGTTTATCTCAGCTACTCTACTCAGGAGTCTAAAGACAGACACTTTCGGATATTTCAGGAACGAACAGGGAGCAAATATGGCTAGATCGCCGGGCTGCCAATTTCTTTTTTAAAATTTCATTTTATTTATTTAGAGGCCTGTGTGCATGTGTTGAGGGCACGCTCACGAGGTCGGAGGACAACTGCGGGTATCAGTTCTCGCCTTCCGTTTGTGGCTGCTGGGGGTCGAACTCAGAAACTCAGGCATGGTGGCAAGTATCTTTACACAGCCAGCCCACTTCCGAGCTGCCAACCGCCTCAGTCCTTCGTCACCAGCTAGGACAGTAATAGTTCTTAGGAGAAGTCGGGGTTTATACGCGCAGACGCACGGGACGGTTTTCTAGGAAGTACTTGGTTTACTGCTTGGAAAATATTAACAGAAAAAGAACTGTCCTACCTGCTAGGATAGTGCCGGGCCCGCAGCCGCCAGCGCAACAGTCGCTACGGTAACGGGCACTGACTTCCGGAAGGAGTACGGCTCGCGACGAGGGACATCGGCCTCCTCGAGTGCGCGCTGACGGGGCGGCAAGTTGCGGTGCGGCGGGTTCCGGCGGCCGCCCCGTAGGCTGTGTCGCTCGGCGCCAAGTCGGAGGGGCCATGGACTTCTCCAAGTTCCTGGCTGACGACTTCGACGTGAAGGACTGGATCAATGCGGCCTTCAGAGCCGGCCCCAAAGACGGGGCGGCGGGCAAGGCGGACGGCCACGCAGCCAACCTGGTGATGAAGCTACAGCTGTTCATCCAGGAGGTGAACCACGCCGTGGAGGGTGAGCCGCGTAGACACCCACCTCCCCGATCCTGAGCGCCCGACTGCAGGACCCGGCCCAGGGCCAAGCCTCTCCCTTGGTGGGAAAGCGAGTCGTGAAGTAGTTTGAGTTATGGACTTCAGGTTTCACCTTTGGCGAAGCCATAACATTTCCTTTGAAGTCTAAAAAAAAGGTTGGGCTTGGTGGTAGCCGCCTGTAATTTTAGCACTGCGGAGGTGGTGGTGGTGGAGAATCAGGAATTCAAAGCTAGCTTCGGTTGCAAAGTGAGTTTGAGGCCATCCGGGGCTATACGAGAACGGACACACACACACACACACACACACACACACACACTTTGTTTTCTTATGAGACAGTCTGTGTTGTCTAGGCTAACCTTAAATTCCAGTGATTCTCCTTCTGCCTCAGCGTCCCTAATTCTGGGATTACAAATATGTGTCCCCCACCCATCTTAAAGAAAAAAAAAGCTGGGTGGTGTTGGCGCACGCCTTTAATAACAACACTCGGAAGGCAGAGGCAAGTGGATCTCTATGAGATTGAGACCAGTTTGATCTACAAGAGCTAGTTTCCAGGACAGGCTCCAAAGCTACAGAGAAACCCTGTCTCGGAAAACTGAAAAACAAAAAACAAACAAACAAAAAATCCTCTTTTAGTGTTGGAGCGATGGTTCAGTGGTTAAGAACACATACTACACTTGTAGAGGCCCCGAGTTTAATTCCCAGCACCCACATCAGGTGGCTCACTACTACCTGTAACTCCAGTTCCAGGAGCTCCAAAGACCTCCTTGGGCCTGCATGAACCGACACACAGACACACCTGTAGTTATGTACAGAGCAAACGTAATTAAAAAAAATAAATCTTAAAAGAAGTCCTTTGGGGAGTCTCCAGTGGCCTCTACTGGCCTTGAACTTGCTGTCCAGTGAAGGGTGGGTGACCTTTGACTCCCAAGCCCTGGGATTATAGATACATTCTGTCAAGTCTGGTATAAGGAAGCACTTAAGAGCATTAAATAGTTAACTGATCCTAGTAGTTAGCAGTATATGGGACCGGCACAAATCCACTGTAATATGAGGAGGATGGATCATCCTGAATGAAAACCTTTACCGTGTGTGTGTGTGTGTGTACACGCTGTGGATTAAACCCAGGTCCTTGCATACTCTTATTTTGTGACAGTCTTCCTAAGGTGCCCAGACTGGCTTTGAACTTCCTTGAATTTGCAGTCTTGTCTCAGCATCTGGAGTGCCTGGGATTACAGGCCTGTGATGCTATGCCCTGCAGATTTATTGCATCTATTTATTGGTGTGTGATAGAGTGAGTGAATATGTGTGGATAGGCATGAGAGAGAGAGAGAGAGAGAAATAGGGGCATGACTTAGTGCCCCTCTTTGCTGTTTCACTGTGCCCACCACACAGTGCTGCATAGCCTGAGTTATGGTGCTGCAGCTCAGCTTCCAGGGTCTATTTCCCTTGGTCTAGGGGTGGGAGCAGTGGCTCCTGGGACCCACATGCTTGCTTGTGTTCAGAAGTGTTAGAAACACAGATCTTGGACCCTGCCTCACACCAACCAGATGAGAGAATAGATGCTGCGGAAGGTACTCAGCCCTAAGGACACGGGGATGACTGGAGACAGTGGCGTTCTGCCTCTAGGCTGTTGCAGCCAAGGCCATTTCGTATGCATCCATCCTCATGGGTCCCAGAAAGTAAAAACACCGGGTTTTGCTTATGATTCTGTTTTCATGTTCATCAGTATGGTGGCCCCAGCTCACGGAGCTGGAATTCACCTTATGAGTTTCCAAAAGATTACATGTGTATTAAGGGAAAACACAAGACAGGCTGGCTTTCATTGGTAGCTCAGGCATGTCCCTGTCCCCGGCCATTCATTCCACTTTGAAGGCTCTTCCCAGATTCTGAGCACACCAGACACCTAGAAGCTCTAGTGGTTAGAGTTCCTAGTCTCTCATCTCAGATGCTGTCAGGTAGTTAAAGTGTCTGTTTGCAGCATCACTGACGGTCCCTAGTCGATAGAGACTCATAGCAGCTACTCATTTTGGACGAACACCTCTTAAAGGTGCCCTCAACCTGGTTCGTTGGAAAATAAGAACGAAACCGTATTTGAAGGTCACTTGATAAATGCCCCCACCCCCCACCCCGCGCAGCAAGCAACCTGACCTAAGACCAGCAGATGACAAGGCAGAATGAAGGACAAGGTGTGGTAGTGTGAGCCTGCAATCCCAACCCCCAGGAAGCTTTCTATTGTTTTTTGTAATTTGGAAAGCTGAGTATATTCCTGAAAGGGTTGGAATTAGAAGAAAAATATCCCAGAAAAAGTCCAACAAAATAAAAATACGAGAACAAGCAGATGGGCACTAAACTCACATAATACTTGACAAGTGCCTTGCCAGTGAGCTCCAGCCCCAGCTCTTGGGTTGTGTTTGAGATTTATTTTCTTTTATGTGCATGTGTGCGCATGTGCAGGTGCCCTGAGATCCCGTGAGCTAGAGTTAGAGACCCCATCCATATTCCATCCTCTGGTAGAGCAGTAGTTGTTGTTAGTCATGGAGTCATCATCCCCCACTTCTTTGTTTGTTTGAGACAATGTCTCACTATTGTAATCCAGGCAGACCTGGAACTCCCTATGTAGCCTAAGCTGGCATCACTTTTCACAGTATTCTACAGGCCCACACTACCACACCCGTGTCCTTCATTCTTTCTGTTGGTCTTGGATCAGGTTGATAGTGATTGTTTCTGAAGCACAGTTTCATTCTGCTGAGGACACGGTCCTGGCTGAGGGGACCTCTCTGATTTCTGTTTTGCCACACATTCCCTGCAGATTCTCAAAGCTGATTGGTAATGTTACAGGGAAAGTTTCCTTTATGTCACCACACATGTGATGATTTCCCACCCTACCAGCTCCAGTTTCTACCTCTGGTGCACAGTGCCATTCTTGAATTTTTGCTGCAGAAACAAGTCTCCAGGCCCTTCAGAACATGCCCAAAGTGCTCCGTGATGTGGAAGCCCTGAAGCAGGAGGCATCTTTTCTGAAAGAACAAATGATTCTTGTGAAAGAGGACATTAGAAAATTTGAGCAGGACACTTCACAGTCGATGCAGGTACTTTGGCTTCTGTCTTTGATGTGGGTTCTACTGTTCAGCAGGTGCTCTTGCTCACAGGAGATTTAGAACTCAGAACGCTATCTGGTTCTCAGGCTGCCTTTCCACCTAACTTGTCTTCTCAGCCAAATTATCTAGGTGAGGGGCTGGAGAGATGGCTCAGCGGTTAAGAGCACTGACTGCTCTTCCAGAGGACCTGGGTTCGATTCCCAGCACCCACATGGCAGCTCACAACTGTCTGAAAATGCAGTTCCATGAGATCTGACACCTTCACACCAACGAACATAATAAAGTTAAATAAATAAAAAGTTTAAAAAAAAAAACAAATTATCTAGGTGAGGCTGGAGAGATGGTTCAGAGGTTATGAGCACTGGCTGCTCTTTCAGAGGTCCTGAGTTCAATTCCCAGCAACCATATGATGGCTCACAACCGTCTATAATGGGATCTGGTACCCTCTTCTGGCATGCAGGCATGCATGCAGACACAGGAGGGTGGTAATAATAATAAAAATAATAATAATAAATTAGGGGAAGGGTAAGAACACTCATAAAACAGTTTTAGGTCACCAGAGTTGGAGGAAAGGGGACTGTCACTGAATTGTGTACACCGTTTCTCTTTCAGGTACTGGTGGAAATTGACCAGGTGAAGTCCAGGATGCAGCTTGCTGCGGAATCTCTGCAGGAAGCTGATAAGTGGAGTACACTAAGTGCTGATATTGAGGAGACCTTCAAAACTCAGGTATGCTCATTTATGGGCACACTGTTCCAGGCATTTAGGGGAGAACTTGGGGTTTGGAGAAAGCTATCTTACTTGCCTTAAGGACATCAGTAGCAGCAGACAGAATATTCGGCCATCTTGGGGGAGGCCAGAAGAAGCTTCCCTAGCACTTCCACCTCTTAATTTTGCCTCCTCTGCTTGACTGAAGCCCAGGGAACATACATAGGCAGAGATGAGATGAGAGCAACTCTGGCAAGTGACTTCACTCCTCAGAGGCTGCAGACTTGACAAACAGGAGAACTTTGAAACCTGTTTGCACAGGCAGTAAAATGGTGTGGTGTGAAGAATCCTTATAAAGCAAAGCCTAGTATAACCCAACTCTCCAGGCCCCTAATTTCTCGCCTGTAGACACTTGCCAGCTTTAGGCTGCTCCTCCAGATGCGCCCCCCTCCCAGCACCGTGCTGTGGGGTGCTGTGGGCGCTGCTGTGTACTTTGTTTTTCATTCGACAGTCTCCCCTACCCCAGAAAAGTCTCAAGTAACCCAAACTGAAACTCCCTAGCACTGAAGTCTTCAAAGTGTTGGGATTTTGTTTTTTTTTTTTTTTTTAAAAAAGAAAGTCTTTATTTATTTCATATGGTTTTTTTTTTTTTCTTTCTGCATGTATATCTGTGCACTGTGTGCTTGTCTAGTGCCCTCACAGGCCAAAAGAGAGCATTGGTCCTCTGGAAGAGCAGCCAGTACTCTTAATAATCTCTCTAGCTCTGGGATTTTCTTTAATTTTTTTTAAAAAAAATTATTTTTTAATTTTTGGTTTTTTGAGACAGGTTTTTCTTTGTGTAGATCAGGCTGTTCTCAAA